GCCGTGCTCACTCGCTCGCTCGCCCTCCGCAAGCCCTCGACACCTCCCGCTTCACTCGCCGCCTTCCATGCTTGTTCCAGAGACTTTCCGGGCAAGGGAGAACTGGGAACTTTCATCTTAAAACAACTAGACCACACATAAACACACACACACACACACACACACACACACACACACCTTAAAAAAAAGAGAGAGAAAAATAAACAATCTTTGAAGAATTTCTGAAACTGTTTACAAGGAATTTTGAAAAACAGGGATGTTTAAATGATGCCGGCTCTGTTTTTCTGTAAATAAATTTGCATATTTTGTAGGACTTTTAATTGTAATGATAGAGAAAAAACAAGGAAAACTATTTAATGAAAGCACGATATTTATCTTTGGTAAATGACTTTAGAGCAGTTAAAGACATTGCTTAAAAACTCAGAATCAGAAAAAACACTGAATTATTTAAGAACACATATATTTTAAAGTATATCATATTTATTATAATTTATTTGCACCGTTGGGAAGACTTGCTTTGGCGTTCTGCCTTGATAACTTCTCACTGATGTCCAGTTCATCTGGAGGCCAGAGGGACTTGTGGACCTACCATTTTTTTTTTCTGTAGAAGAACAAATTTCTGGTTCCTCTCAGGCCTTCTGTCTTTCCTTTCTGTCAATTTTGTTATTGTTGTTGTTTTAATTTTCTTTTTCTTTGACTCCTCCTTTTAGGATGTCCAGATGTTGTAAAAAACAAAACAAAACAGCTGCAGTTCAGTACAACTGCTCTTTTCACACTCAACTCCCTAAAACTCCTTGTAACCTTCTGTAACTATTGGATGACGCTTTCTCCAGCTTAGCCCTAAATAAAGCACAGTTTAAAAAAAAGAAAAAAAGACTCCTCTTTATAGTTCTCTGTCTCTTGAATTCTAGTCAGCTCTGCCTCATGACCCATGGTTCTCCCATGGGATGTAGCTGTGGTCTTCTGCCAGAATTCCTCATCTGCTTGGGCCCTTGCTGTGAGCCTTAGCCTTGGGGCTCCTTCGGGGTGGTGATGAGAATAATAAAAAGAGGTCCTGTTCCATCCTATAAAAAGTCAACTACCATGTGTCTCTGAAAGTCCCTATAACAAACCCATTCTTTGAAGTGTCTGTGTAGAGATGGCCATAGTTCTCAAACAGTACAAGATACCCCTTTTCTCTATGTTAGGAGGAAAGCAAGGCCACCTGACCTGAAGGCAGAACAAGAGTTGGGGTGGGGATGTAGAAGAGGGAAAAGGGAGCACGATGAAGGGGATGAGGGAGCAATTCCAGATCTGCCTCCAAACCTTTTGTCCTTGGTCCTATAGGTTCAACTGCTTGGACATTTTACATTGGTGGAGAAAACTCAGCATTCTGGGTGGTGCCTTCTGAGTCAACATCCTGGGGAGAGAGCTGTGCAAAGAGGTCCTCTGGGCCCTGCTCTGGCGAACTTCTGGAGTGTTTCTCCACACACATAAACATGACAGAAATGTCCAAGCCCTGAATACCCAGAGTTGAGAGAAGAGTATTTCTAGGAAGGAGAATATGAGGCAGGACCTAGTGAACAGAAAGGACTGTCTTCTCAGGTGGGAGCCAGGACAGACGTGTTCCATCCACATACCTTTGTCAGACCTGTCCCGAGAGAGACCTACCTACCCTCTGCCCCCAACCTTCAGCCCTGTGCCTGGTCTAAGGACGGCAGGCCCACTCCAAGGATCTCTGTCACTCTCCAGGGTGAAGGATGGGGAAGCTGTGAGGTTTTAGATGCCCGGGGAGAGAAGCCTGGACAATCAGGGCTTCTCCTGGGCCCTCCTCCTGAAGTGGGGTAGTGCAGAGCTCAGACACAGCTGCCAAGCAATACCTGGAGCCCCTGTTTCACCCTCTCCCCCATCCTCCCATCTCAGGGCCAGTGGGCCAAGCCTGTGAAGTGTCTGCCTGAGGAGAAAAGACCTTTCCATCTCAGCAAATTCAGATGGGCCTTCAAACCGTGACCTCAGTGTGGAGATGGTTGAGAGAAAGGGACTGTCCCTTAAATTAGTGCCCCCTTCTCTGCCCACCAGGCTTTGAGCCCAGGAGATAGCCTGATCTGCCACTCTGGGGAGCTGGACTTCTTGGAAGTTAGCTTCCAGGGGCTGGATGTCAAACTGGGTGTTATGTGAAAAGCTGAAAAGCATTTTCTAAGGTATTCCCTAGGAGTCGGGGGAGGGGTGTCTATAGGCTTTGAACCCGAGTTCAAAACTGATTTCTGTTGGAGTTGGACAGCTGAAAGTCACTGAATCTGCCAGAGGGTGACTGCCTTACTAACCAATTATTCTCAGGCCCCAGGGAGCCTCCCCAAATCTCTTCTATTTCTTTGTACCAACCCCCACCTCATACTCTGTGTCTGGGACACAGCCCCCTCTACTGCTACTGAAGGTACAGGGACTGTAGAAGCTGCCATCAAAGAGGAGCTGAGAAGCTTGTTGACCGATTTTATCTTTTCTGAGCCTGGTTGACTGAGTAGGGAGATGAAATCATCAGAGCCAGATGTGAATATGCCAGTACTATAAAATAAATCTGTTTAAAAACCATGCACCAAGTAATCTATGCATGGCACATGTGAGAGGAAATGCATCTATTAACCTTTGAGGGGACAGTCACAGATTCCTTAAAAACTCTCAGATCCCTTTGCACACAATTATAAGGAATTTAAGGTTCCCTGCCGCTTTTCTATCCCTCCTTGGTGAGTTTCTGATCTGCAGTGTCAAGAAAATCCAAGACAGTCTCACCAGTGTCTGCTTATACTCTGGCTTACATTCTTCTGCTAGTGTCCACCTGCAGTGTGCGGTTCTTTCATAGCTCCCCGATCAGAACAGACCTTTGATTTGTTATTATAAACTTTTTATTTCAAGCATAATAACCCCGAGTGGGGATACCTGTGTCATGAACTACTATGTGCTCATCCTCTAGCTTTGGCACCCATCAGCTCATGAATCAGTTTGACACAGACCCTACTTATCAGTTGTTTTATTGGTAGATGCCTCAGTTTCCCCTCAATGTTTTCTGTGCTGCGTAGAAGTCTAATGGCTGGGGGGCAGGGTATTTGGCCCACTTGGCTCTCCACAGCCTTCTCTCAGGTCTCTTCAGTACCTTTCCAGGGTGCCTGGACCTGTCCTACTTGCAAAGTTCTTTCAGCTTTTCCTCTGTCCCTTTGTAATCATAGCTTTTGTCTTCTCTCCCTTTCACCCTCCCATCTCTATAATGCTAGTATGAAAATTTTTATTCTCTTTTTATCTCTTCTCCTTCTTATCCGTCTCTTTTTCCACAGCTCTGGCCTTTGTTCCATTCCAAGCAAGACCACACCCCCCCATTCAAAGCACAAGTGGAATGACTGGACACAGGCCTGCCAGGGCTTCCCCACCTCCTAGTGCTGCTCCCCCATCTTGTAGGGCTGTTGGTGCCAGTCTGAGAAGATCTGCAGCTCCTCATGGCACAGGAACTGCAGGGCCCATGTTCAGATCACACCAGGATGAGCCCATATGAACATTCCCCACTTTGTCCTACCTGTAAGGTTTCTGGAGGGACTACGAGCAATGAGCTCAGGGGCCCAGCTCAACCCAAAGCAAATGCATGAGACTTGGCTATGAATGCCACTTGGCCATTCCCAAAATGGAATCCACCCCCAAACAAAAATTATTTGCTGCCATTGATATGCCACCTCCAACAGACTATTAACTTCTGGCAGTCAGATTTTTAATCAGTGTTGATTCACTGCCTACATAGACAAATTGCAGATGACTGAAGGCTTATTCCAAAGTAGGTGTTCTGAAAATGCTTTTTAAGTATTACTAATGGCACATCTGGATTACTAAGTATTACTAAGTGCACAGTGGGCAGTCCCTCTCCCCATAAAATTTGCAAGTGTAAGATCATTACCTACTTTCCCTCCATTTCCATAAAGTGTCCTCCTTTTTCCTTTCAAATCCCCCCTTTGGTTACCTGCCCATTCCCCAAATCTCTGATCATCAGTACTTCCAGTTTTCCACGCTCCCCTTATTAACCTAGCTCCTTTCTTCTGCTGTTAATCTCGTCTGAGAACTCTGACCAACTCCACCTCTGCTTCCATCCTTTGCTAGATCTACCTAGGATTTGCCCAGACTGGGAGAGGGGATGAGTAGGCGAGTGTCTCCGTGTGAAAGGGCATGGGCTTTGACTCCAGACCAGACTTTGGACCCCAGTTCTCTCCAGTACCTTCTCTGTCACTATGGAAATGTTGCTGAACCTCTCTGAGCCTCAATTTCCTTATCTCTAAAATTGAGGTATTACCCCAAAAATGTGAAGAAGTGTGCAACCACACACAGCTCTATCCCATCATAAAGATCCTCTGAGTGAGAAATTCCTTTATACTGCAGGTCTTTCCTTTATTTCCTCCTTCCCTTCCTTAATCCCACTTCATTGATAATTCACTGCCCAATCTAAGCATGCTTGGACTTGACACCAGGCCAGTTAGGTCATTTTCTGGGACTTCAGTGAGCCGGTGCCACTCCCAGAGAATTCCTGTCATGTTGAAGTGCACACACCTCTGGCTCTCACTGCTCTTTTCCAGGGACCCCAACTGGCTGATGATCCTAAGCCACTTCCACTCTGCCCTCTCATTTTCCCAAGAGCATTCCCAAGGCCACTATAGCTGCTGCTGCCTGCAGCCATCCTCCTCCTGGTTCACAAGGCCTCAGGCTACATACTCACTTGGTCTGTGCATTTAAACATTTTTAAATCTTTTTTCTGCATAGTCAACATATTCTTATACTTCAAAAAGGAGGGAAAAGGTTACAATGAATTCAGTCACCATCCCCTTTCCAGAGGCAGCCAGCATTGCCAGTTGTTCCTGTACCTTGATCATTAAGGGTATGGATGTGGGCTGAGTGGGTGGGAGGAACACAGCTTCATCCCATTTTCACTGAGGAGACAGAGACAGGCAGTCAGAAGTCCAGGCTGTGGGGTGCTTGGGCACCTCTGAGCAGAGGAATCAGGGTCTTGTGGCACACTCTTGCCATGGGGGGACTCTGCTGTGAAGCAGGGATGCAGCTATTATTTATAGTGTGCTTGTTGTGTGATAGACACTGTGTTAAGAGCTGCTTACTTGTAATCTCATTTAATGATTGCAAGTATCATTATCCCCGAGAAAATGGAGGCTCAGAGAGGTTAAGGCCTCTGCTGAGATCACCCGGCTCTGTCTACCTCAGGCTTCTCTTGGACTTGAAATTTCTCCATTTATACATTCTCTGCAGTCAAACCCCTCCAAGTGCTCGCTTCATGTCTCCTGTCTCCTCTCTTCTTGAAGGAGTCAGCAATAAGCTACTGAACATGTAGCTAATGGTTGCATAGTTCTTCCTCTCTGGTAGGACCTGTTTTGGGTAGGCACTCAAGGGACAGCATAGAGGAGAGAAAACAAACAAACAAAGCTCCAGGTATGTTTTCTTATTAACAAGGAGAGGAAATCAAATAGACGTAAATTTCATACTGACTAATGTTTTCCGCAGCTACTTGAAATTTGAAAGCTATTTGGGCTATGATAGCTCTGTTTCCCAGGACACTGAACTTTGGAAAAAACATCTAAGCAAATTCTTAAGATTGCTGCAAACTGGTTCTCCATCTCTTAGAATAAAGAGATCATAATAACCACCTTCTCCATCTCTTAGAATATAAGAGGGCATATTAGCCACTTCTGAAGGCCCCACATTCCTCTATTTGAGATAGGAAAATAATTTTTGTCCTCAGGATTTCCAATGGAATTCATTTTTTCCATTGCTCTTCCCTCCTTCCCTCTTCTTGGTGCCTGGCTCTGGGGCCAAGCTGCTCTCTCTTTCACTCCCTGGAGTCCTCTTTGGACCAGAGAAGCCTCCAAAGCAAGGCTCAGACAGGAGGAGGCTCAGGAAGGATGCTCAGGGCTTCAGGTCCAATCATTGGACCTTTTTCTTTGGGTTAGATTTGGGTCACATCAATTGTTTTTAAATGAAAATTAGTGTGAGATAGGGTAGTGTTGAAGCAGCAGTTGTGGTAGCCAATACCAAATGCCAGCACCATCCTAAGGATCAAGGTTGAAAAGATGAAACAGCACACAAACAGCCACCTTCTGGGAACAATGCAAAGTGTGTTATGGTATTCTCTAATCCTGGACATTATTCTCCAAGGTGCTATCACCTTACTTTACAGATGAACAGTCAGAAGCTCAGCAAAGATAAATTAACTTGCCCCAAGTTACACTGCAAGAAAGTAATGGAGCCAGGATTAAAAAGCATTGACACCCATCCCCTCATCTGAGGTTCCCTGATAAGCAAACGACAACTGCTGGGCAAAGTCGTGGAACTGTGTGGGGGCTCAGGTAGTCCAGGGGAGGGAAAACAGGTGGCTCAGACTAGGGAGGAGGAGACCTGGGCCAAGTGTTGTATGGTGAGTAGGTATTAATTGGACCTCATGGTGGGAGGCATGGAACAATGAGGGATCCTGGGCCTTTTGAAGAAAGCTAAGATATCTTAGGCAAGTAAGGAAGAGAAAGGGCCTTGTTTAAAACCAACCCACTCACAGATCATCTATCACTAATACCATCCCCATTATTTTTGGATGACCCTAGGCCCTTTGGTACAGATAAGTGGAAATGGAGAATGGAGCTCCCATGTTTAGCTGCAGAGCTGGGAATTGAATCCTGGTCTTCTTGACAGCAGATTCTATGCTTGAAATCACCTTATTATATCGGAAGAGGCTCCCTATAAAAGGCACATGTATGACTGAATGGTGGCTCAGAATGCCCTTTACTGTATTCCAAGCCTTAATCAAAGACACACAGCCCTAACTGCAGGACAGAAGAATGGAGTCAAACCTGTCCTGGAAAGGCTCAGTCTTCTCTGGCTTCAATTTCTTCCTCTGAAAAGTGAGCAGCTATCTATGCCTCAAGGATTTCGCCCAACTCTAGTGTGCACAGAACTGCCAAGAGCTGTGTCAGAGCAGTAGAGAAGACTGAGGGCAGGGGAGGTAAACAAATGTGAATACCCACAGCCCAGCCCCGCAGATAAGAGTCATCTTACAAGGAGAGGACTCAACACAGTATTTCAGCTACCACTGCCCTGCTCTGGTTGTTGAGTGACTTTAGGAGGTCTCTGGGCATAAGGCATCCCTTCAGTAAAAAACTGCTTGAGATCCTATATCTTCAGCATTGACCTTAATGTCTAGCACAGAGCAGGTGTTCAAAAAATTTAATGAATGCAAGAAAAGGTGGGGGAGGGGAAATTGTCTATGGACAATGATCCTCATGCTGTACAGATTGCTGACCATTCAGATTCTTTCTATCCCTTTAAGCCAATCCAGAGCCCATGTGCTCCAGGGACTCTACCTCAAGCTGAACACCTATCTTCTGACCTGCTGCTGCCCTCTGAGTGGGGCCTCTTTCACTGGGACTCTGATTTGTTTTTGTAGCTTTCACCCCAGCTGAAGGCCCCGAGGACAAGAAGTGAATTATCTCCTTTTTCTGCCTCCTTCCTAGTAGAAAATCAGGCAAAGCTACAGTAGAAGAATAAAGGTTTAAATGCCATGTGCCAAACCATCAGTGGATGATGGAACCAGTGGATGAAAACCAGTACTTCTATAGTCTCAAATTACCCTCCTGCGATATATTCTCAGGGGATAGTTAGTTACTTCACAATGGAGAAATCTGGACAGAACCACTTAACCGGGTGATCAAAATTACTGTCACCTGGAATGTTACAAAGCTATCAAGGATCTCCTGGTCTTGAGTATTGAGGAAGACACTGCATCACTTATTCTTGCTAAACTCAAATTACAGAATATTCTGAAAAGTAAATGTCTCATACTCATCTAGAAACACAACAACAAGGCGAACTTGCTATCCTGGGTTGGACCCATGATCAGGACTTCATTTCTCTTTCTCTCTTCTTTTCCCTCTCCTCTCCTCTCCCTCTCCTTTCATAAGGGATATTAGTGCAACAGTTGGAAAAATTTAAATATGGTCCATAGGTTATGTAATGATAGATTATCTTTCATTTATTTTGATCACTATACTGTCCTTGTTTTATGAAATATATGATAAACTATTTTGGAAAAAAAGGGTATTAGGTTTGCAATACTTTGAAATAGTTTAGGAGAAAAGTAATGCTATGGGTATTTATTTGTATGTGTTTGAGAAAGCAAACAAGTTAAAAATATTAACTTGGGGGGGAGATGGATGAAGGGTATACAGGAATTCTTTGTATTATTTATAAAACTTCTTTGTAATCTGACTTCAAAATAAAATATTTAAGGGAAAAATATGGCCTGTGTGAGCATTAGCTGGGTCAGCCTGGAGGGTTAATTCCTAGGCCACATTCTGAGTGGTCTGAAAGGAAAAAAACCCAAACAGACATGAGGAGCTTGTGTCCCAGGCAATGTGATGAGGTCACTATGGGTTTAGCCTATTAAGGAAACATTAACTAACCCTGGCTCAGAAACAGCTGGGGACATCCGTTCCCACCATTCTGCCCAGAAGCACACTGACAACTAAACAAGAAAAAAAAACATCACTAGACATTCTATTCTAAGGAGAAAAGGCACAGTGAAAGGACTAGAGCTGGGAAGTGGAGCCTTGGGTGGGGAGAGGGAGGAGGAGGCCCAGGAGCCACTCATAGGCACCCCAGTGATGACCACGTGGGCCACAACTTAGAGGTCCCAGCCCTGGTACAGCTCTCAGTTCTTGCAACAGATACTCCTCCAAGCTAGTCTGGAGAGCCGGGGGGTGTCCTGAGGAGCCAGGTCCCTTCATGGAGATGTGAGATTCTAGCTAGGGGGAGATAACAGAGGTAAACGGCACTCTGAAACTGGGATGAGCTGGCAGTGCGCTGCTCTGCTGGAAACTTAGGTAGGGGCTAGAGGCACTGCCCAAGGGGCGGCATTCAGTAGGGTGCAGCAATGGTTGGAAGCTGGCAGGCCTAGCTTCTGGTTTTGTGGAGTCCCCAGGTCTCCATGCTTCCGAGGGGCCAATTATCCCTTGCTTGCCTTCAGACAACTTGTGAACACACCTGATGTGTATAAAGCCCTGTGCAGTTGTTGGGTATGTGGGAGACCTTTCATCATATCCGCATGTAGACTTGAGTCAGACAAGGGCAAAGGCAGGCATGTATATGTGCAATCTGCCTTGTGCAGTCAGAGGCAATGGGTTTAGAGTGGTGACAGAACTTAGAATACATACATCACATAGCTATAGTAGTTGAACAACTTGAACCTAGGGAAACTATTGACTATTGGTCAGAATATTGACTGTATTGGTATCTATGCTCGCCTTTTCCTACTGGGCTCTGCTGCTCCTCAAGGCTTAGACATCAGGCGGTCCATGAGCTGCCCATGAGCTTATTCTCCATGGGGTGCTCTCTCTCTGTGCCTTTAAACACACTGCTCCTCTGCCTGGTAAAGGGCTGCTGTTCAGACCTCTGGCTGCACTGATCTAAGGGATCCAGTTGCTTGCCTGCCTTACTGCACTGAACATTGCTGAAAGTTAAGAACTGTCATTGCACTTTGCCTAGCACATAGTGTACAGTGAGAAAATGCTTCATTATTTACGAGTGATTCCTTAATTTTTTGGATCACAGGTTCTTTGACAATCTGATAAAAGCCACGAATCTTCTGGTCCAGTTAAACTTCCAAGTAAGGAGTGAAGAGAGCAGAGAGTTTACGAGGGAGAGTTCTCTATTCAGAGTGATAGTTTTGGCACAGATTTGTCATCACGGGGATAGAGTGCTCTCCTTTCTACTGGAGCCCCACTCTGATACCTGTCACTAGACAGGACATAACAGAAGACCATTTCTGTGCTCAAAGACCCTTTCTAAGTTGGTGGGAGACTAAGGGGTTGCAGTACCAGTCAGATCCTCCCCCGTGGCTGCTCCTTCCATTCTGGGCAGAAGCATGTAGAGGGGCTCAGAGTCCTGCTTGACATCATTGTTCCCAAGAACCTTCTCATACTCATCACTGCTTAACACTTTTCCCCCTCTAACACAGTAAATCTTCTGTTATTCTCCGACTTGATGTAGTAAGCTGTGTCATTTTGAGAAGAAATACATAATGGTATATTAGGGGAATCATGGATCTCCTCATTCATGCTTAGAAAAAAATTTACAATGTAAGAAAGTCTGAATAGCATGAATTTATTATAATGATTTAACACTTCTAGTACTTCAGTTAAAAATGCCCCTTCATAAATAACTGTCCCTGGAAAACATAGCAAATTTACATAGTTTACTGTTTGCCAACGTTATATAAATCCAACAAATTTAAATCACTTGTACCTGGGAGAATGCAGAAAATGGGGGCTGTGAGGTTCATCCCATCCACCTGGCAGGGGCAAGAGAGCTAGTCTTCCCTTCCTTGGCTCCCTCATCTTG